TGAGAAACAGAAAAATGCTGCTACCAAGAAGACTTCTTGTCTTTGTTATTTAGTTTCTGAAATCCCTTTTCAAGCTTTGGCTAAGTTTTAAGGTTAAGTTCTTAGTAGCCACCTTGCAGGCACCATTTTCTTACAAGCAGTTTTCCCACCAGCCTGGCCCCACAGCCTCATCAGCCCCAAATAACACACAGAGACACTGTGGCCTGTTTCTTATTGGCTAGCTCTACCTTAAATATTAACCCATTTCTATTAATCTAAGTGTTTCCATGTGGTCTCATCTTACCGAAGAGAGGATCTGGACCTTCTTCTCTTTCAAGTCTCTACATATTGAATCTCCTACTACATCTCCCAGAATTCTCCTTGTCTCCTAATCCTTGTCTTGATTACTTATTTGCCAACAATGCTTTTTTCATTGACCAATAAGATAAACATATTTGCAGAATGACTTCTGTCATCACATAGAAACTGCTGACCTGAACAAGGCTGAGCTCATGCATCTAAGTCTGATAGCTGGGAAACTGAATGTGCATGTTAGTTATGAGGACTTGGCAGTCTCTGGGGCCCCTAGTACTTTTTCAGTATTTATCCCTAGTATATGAATGGACTTTGGGATCCCATTCCACATAGAGGAATATTCCCTCAGCCTAGACACATGGGGGAGGGTGGCCTAGGCCCTGCCCTAAATGACAGATTTTGAAGACTCCCCATGGAAAGCCTTACTCTCCCTAGGAAGCAGAAAGGGATTGGGGTTTGGTGAGGGAGGTAGGGGAGGATGGTAGGTGAGAGAACTGGGACCAACCTGTAAAACAACCTTGTTTCAATTTTAAGTAAATAAGGGAAAAAGTTAAAAAAAAAAAAAAACAGAAAAAAGAAAAAAAAAAAAGAGGAAAGAGAGAGGGTAAAAAGGAAAGACAACTTCTGTGAAGTGTAGATCTGACAATTTTGCAAGGTATTACCTTTATGTTTTAAATTTTTATTGGAGCTTTTGCTATTTAATGTTTAAGACAATACAAGGGGTCATCCATATACTTAAATCTCTAAAACTGTGAAGACACTAACAGAAATATGCACAAGCAAATCTATACAAAAAATACTGAAAGCTTCCTAATGAAATGTCTTTACTGTATAATTTTAACTGCTTTAAAAGGTCATAGCTGCTACTGCTAATGTAAAATGTGTTTTAAAATCACATGCTGTTTTCATAATCAAAAAGGATTTTGATACTTTGAAATATGTCAGCCAGTAGAAATAAACTCTAGGAAATATTTTTTTCTGACATAAGAAAGAGAAAAAAATCATACTACTATAGCATATAAAGTAAATACAAGCATGACCAGAACAATCAGATAACCAGAAAGGTGTTCTTGATAGTAAGGTGACAGCATGATGGTCAGGACTGAACAAACGGTGAGGATCATCAGGTGACCAGAATAACGGTGATGACAGTCAGGCAACAATGATCGGGTAGTCAGGTGATCACAATGATGATCAGGGTGGTCATGTGCCCAGCACAATGGTCATAATGATGGTTACATGACAGAACACCCTCAGGACAGTCAGGTTACCAAAATCATGATTAGAACAATGGAGAAGCATATAAAGGATAATTTTCTGAGTTCTTCCACATTGTAGCCAATACTTAAGAAATAGAAGAAAGGGAAGAAGTATTGATTTTGTCTCAGAGTTCATAGTAACTCGGCTTCATATTTGTGGTCATGCAATGTGATTGTACGTTCTTTGGCAAACTATATGGCAGAAGCTGTTTGCTCATGGACACCATGAAGCAGAGAAGAACATGGCTAAACTTCATGGATTTTAGAGTTCTTTCTTTTTTTCTTTTATTTCATTAAAGTTCCACCTATGGAATGGTATATTCAGGATAGGTTTTCGTTAATTCTCCCTGAAAATGCACACCTACACTATAGATATATAAAAACATCACACATGCATATCACAGCACACATGTACACACACACATACACAAACAGACACACACAGAGGCACCCCTACACACACACACACACACACACACACACACAGAGAGAGAGAGAGAGAGAGAGAGACTTGCTTCTTTTATATCTGCTTCCTGAAATAACCACACTGACCATCAGAATTGATCTTCAAAAATAAAATAGCAAACGCTAAAGTAACATCAGATAGGAGGGATAAGTCGTGCTGTTGACAACAGGGTAACCATAGTTTACCATAATTATATGTTCTAAAAAGAATGAATGAGTTCATAAGAATACAGAAAACTAATTCCTCACTTTTGACCACTACATGTGTTACATGTCTTGTAATAACACAATATCCCATTAAGTGTATGCTATCATGATGTGTCACTCAAAAAGTAAAATCCAAGAATGGTATAAAGTTGTCAGAGGAGCCCAATAGTTTTTCTAAATGCCGTTAGCAGTGTGTAAGAAGTGGCTATACCTGACAAATTGAAACTGGATTTAAATTCTGCTAAAGAGAGCCCAGATTCACCAAGGCAAATTACATATTAAAATGATAGAAGTGCACTACAGGTGGATTAAACATGTCATGAACTCAAGCCTATATTCTCTATTCAAAGCTGTGAAACAGAGTCTCAGGGCTTGATACTTCAAGCCAGAAGGATATGGGTGGCAGGAAAGCAAAAGGATGGTTAAAGGTATGAGTGCAGCTGCCTGCTAGGAGGAGTTACTGCCAGTATTCGACATCTTATAGTGGCAGTGAAGATTGGCAATAGTCATTGACCATTTCAGATATGATGGAAAGAATTTGAATGTTTCCTATGGAGACAAACAAAATGAGTCTAAGGTGACATCTTGATCTAATCGGCACATATTATGTTCATGGTTCAGAACACCACTCCTTACCCTGTGAATATGTGTAAGTACTGTCAATGAAATATTTGCATGTATATAGTTTTGTTTCAAAAACAAAAAAAGCCAGCTGCACATCTGGTTTCCAAAGCCATATCTTCATTTCTAAGAAAGAAACCAACAGAGCTAGCCAGGTTCTCTAGATTTTCCTCACTTACACAGGGCTGAAAAGGGAAACACACCTTCAAAATTATTTTGCCAAACAAAACAAATGAAGCAGGAAGTCAAAGACAAGTTTGGCTTAAACCAACATCTTTCAGAAGTGGCCCCAAGCAGGTAGTATCCTAAAAGCCATTGATTGGAGTGGTTTTTTACTATAAGAGGACGTAGGTGAAGGAATATCAGAAATAAATATGTAGTGACTTGCTGGCTGAGTTAGTCAGATGTCTATTTTTATCTAAACTTCAAAAGCTATTTCATTGTAATATGTGAGGAGCAGAAGGTCTTGAGCTCTGTGATTGGTTATTGTTTTGAAAGGGAAAGAAAATTACCTTTCATTTTCTCTCTGTTGGCACTAAACCTGCAGTAAAGGTTTGAAGGACATTCCTAATCACACTGCAGCCAAGAGCTTTTGAGACCCCTACTTCTCACTGTGGCTTGCAATCCTATCACCATCTAACACACTGCCTGCAAACACAAGCCTACAACACCATTTTTAAAAAAAGTCATTTGAAACTAATGTTTACTCTGAGCTCATTAGCAAAATCAGATCTTATCTTTAAGGTATTAAACCAGAGATATCTTGATGCCTGTTCCCTGACTCTAGTAGGGCAAATTACTAATAATACAATATTACCTATAGTAATTTCATGGCATATATAATTCAAAAATTATTGAAATGAGAGAGAGAGAAAGAGAGAGAGATAACAGTATAATACTGCTATGTCAAAGAGTCATATATAACCTGGAACAAGACAAAAGTAATTACTGTGTTGAGTACCATAGACTGCATTCTAACAGGTAACACCAAACAAACCTATTAGGTCTAGTTTGGATGAATGCTGTAATAAACACCTAATATGTTAACTTAAAAAGCAAAACCATAGTCCTTGTTTACATAAGTCTCTAGCACACCTTATAGTAGAAATGAAGGTGACCCTGAAAACCACTAGCTAAATACCATTCACTGGGTCTTTTACACTTTCTCTCCTCTTGGTTCTCAGGAAGCTGTTATGTGGCTGGGAATCATAGAATGAAGGATGATAGAAGGGGTGCTTAGGAGAATATACCTCACTGTGAGGAGCACAACCACATAGTGATACCAGACTACAGCAGGTGAAAGGGGGAAGCAATCTGATAGAGAGCTAGCCAGCCTTAAGGTGCAGAGAAATGTCGTGTGAGTGAAAGGGAAGTGTATGGAGAAGAGAGGACAGAATGTCTCATGGGAGCTCTCTGCATAAAAGAACAACTGCCTTAGGAACTGCCAAGGAAATAAGTGTTAAATATCTTAAGATGGTAGAGAAGAAGATGCTTAGAGAAAGAAAGAAGCCTTTTGAAAACAAAATTAACAAGTTGATAGGTTAGACTTTAAGTCTAGTTAAGGATTCTGTTGGGGAATTAAGACAGTGACTTTTCTTGTTTCTTAGAGGTACAGCTTTAAAAAAAAACTAATGAGAGAGTTTTACATATATGTAATGTAAGATGTGGAATTCTTCCCTGCTAATAATGCATAGCAATTAGGAGGAAAGTCAATGATTTGCTTTAATTTTTTGAAAATGATTATTTAGCATTGGGGTACATAGTCCATAAAAACCAAAATATGGATATTCAGAAAGGCAGGTAATGTCACAAAACAACAAGCCAAGATATTTAGTGGACTTGATAATATAAATGTGGTAAAAAAACATATAGCCATTTTATGTTGAAAATGATGGTCTCAATTCAACATTTTAAGAATAACCAAATTCATTACATTATAGTCTATGGATAACATCACAGATATTTCCATGTTGCTTTAAAAGTTCACTATTTCTTTTGAAATTTGTGTTTCATGAAATTGCTGCCAACTTATTACTGACCATTTGCTTTTCTACTTCTGTCTTAATCCTCTCTCAAAAGCAGACACAACTGGATCGTAAAAGTAACTCAGTGTTAAGAATTTTAACAGTTATTGTTTTCTGTATTTCTGGCTAGGTGTTGAACAGTTTGAGGCCAGGAACTGCTTCTGAAATATCCTAGGCTCGTAAATGGTAAGTCCACAGAGCATCTTAGCCTGTTCTTTTTTTTTTTTTTTTTTTTTTTTTTTTTTTTGACATTTAATGGGATTGATGAAATAAATATTGTAAAAAAACAAGCAAACTATATGACCATTATATGCTGAAGGTAATGAACTCAATTCAATATTTTAATAAAAGTCAATTTCACTACTTTGTAGCCTATGAGTAAAATCACAGTTTTCCACATTGACTTAAGTGTTTACTATATCCATAATACAATACCTCATAACTAGCTGGCATTCCAAAATTACTCTTTGGGATTGAGAGGTAAAGAGAAAGTGATAATAGTTCATCCAGATAAATTGATATATATATATATATATATATATATATATATATATATATATAATACCAAGATTCATTCTGCAATGTAGATATTGATATTTTGTAAGTCACATTGCAACCTATTAAAAGAATTTAGGAAAGTTGTTGATGAGAGATTTGCTCTTCTTGTTTTGAATCATGGGCAATTCTATGTACAAGTGTGGAAGAAATCTAACAATGGGTTAAAATTTTGAAACAGAGTTGTGGATGTCTATAGATTTAAGTGTTGATTGACTTTAGTAGCTGCTGCTATGAAATTATTAGCCCTTGGCTGAAGTCTTGCCTACATAGTTTATTTTGGTTCTTGTGAAATCCAAGAACTTATTTATTGTTAAATAGGGAATAAGTCAAGAAAAGAGATTAGCAAATAAATTAGCAAATTTTAGAAGTCTAATCTCTGTTAAATAATACCAGGTTATTATGTGATGTGTTCAACTATTATTCCACAGTGACAATCTATGCTCTTAACTCAGAATTGAAATTTTACATAGCCCTTCCCCTGTGTAAAGTTATCATGTGTCATATTTCTAATCAAATCCTACATCGACTTTTCTTGTTTTACCATTTACAACTCAATAGCATGCTTCTAATTTTAAAGAAAAACAGCTAATTCTTTAAAATAAACAACTGCATGCTCTTTTGATCTTTCAGATGAGCATTTAAATATTAGCACCAAATGGTAAACATATAATGAATTCCAAAATAATCTCAAAGGAATTATTATTTTGTAAACATTTTCTAACATTGGTTAAGTTTTGAAGTACCTAAAACTCTACATTTTTAGCTTAAGGAAAATCCTATTATTGTATTGCTTTTTGCCTCATTTTCTGGGTTCGTGTTGCTTATGACTTAGAAAAAGGAAATGTCTGCAAAATTAAAAGTAAGAAAAGGTCCTTCATATGTCAAGGTAATATGTAAGTCAAGTAAGACAATATTTAAACAAGTGAAATATGAAACATGTATCTCAGGTCTTTTGCCTATTTCCTCCATGGTTTTCATCAATTCACTTACATGGATTGAATTCAATTCAACTCCCTGCACAGCATTGTGAGGAGTATTGTTTTTCCTCCCACCACTGGTCTTGTCCCGCCGCACCAGCCCCAATTAACACACTGAGAGTCTCTGTATTTGATATAATGCTGTTGGCTAGGTACTAGTTTCTTATCGGTTAGCTCTGTCTTAATTATTAACCCATTTCTGTTAATCTATGTATTTCCACGTGCTTTCATCTTACCGGGGAATGGGCTGGTTTTCCCTGGTCTCTATATCTTGACTCCTCCTACTACTTCCTCCTTCCTCCTTTTCTCCTAGTGCCTCCTATCTTTCTTTCCTATTGGCCAACAGTACTTTATTCATTAACCAGTATGAGAAACATATTTACAGAATGACATCTCCCATCACAGCATTATCTGGATACCCTGTAGAATTCTGAGTTTTTGTTCATGGTTCTCTTATAATATTATCATAAACATAAGCCATATGTATATAAACAATTGCCACTTTCTGAGAATATTATGTTCCAGAGGTAATTGAAAAATAAAGAAATAAATACATGCAAAACAAAGAAATAATAATAATAACAACAAAAACAGTTGTTAAACAATTGTCGAGAGTTCAGAGCATACATTCACATAAAACCAATCATTCAAGTAATGTTCTTATTTTCTTTCTGAGTGGTTTCTGAATAACCTAGGGCTCCTAAAATTCATTTCAAATATACTTTCTGTTTTGACATTTATGTTTTGAAGGGTAAACTTCATAAATCTAGACCAAGACTTGCCTGCCTTCACTCCACCTATAGCCTTATCAGTCAGCTCATTTGTGTGCCTGACATTGGTCATCTACAAGATAGAAAGAGTGACAGAACCTACTTCTGTGACTGTGGGGAAAATTTAATGAGCCATGTGTGAAATATGTTCCAGAACACTTTGTGTCCAATAAGAGTTCCATTCTTGGGGTAATGTCATTTTCACTACAACCTGGAGTACCAGGAAACCAGCTGTCCCTTACAGGCAAATTTGGAAGTGAAAATTACTTCTTAATTCATCTTCTGAAGATAGAATGCACATCTAAATCAAAGAATATCAACTGCCTGAGCCTGATAGAAAAAGACTAGTTATCTAGTTCAATCATTTTCCTGATCTATCTAGTTTTCCAAGATGAAAAAAGCAAAATAATAAAATGGCCTTCTTTTTAAATTTATTTATATATTTTACTTAATTAACATTTCTTTCATTTATTTTAAATACCAACCAACTACACTCCCCCCTCCCCTCCCATCTCTTGTCTCCTCTTACCTAGCATATACCCCCTTCCCCATCCAGTCCTCCATCTCCATTCAGAAAAGGGCAGGCCTCCCATGGGCTTGAACAAAGCATGGCTTATTAAGTTGAAGCAGGACCAAGTGTGGGTGAGGTAATATAGCATGGGAACAGATTCCCAAAAGCCAGCTAAACCCCAGAGACAGGTCCTTCTCTTACTGTTAGGAGCCTTACAAACAGACCAAGCCACACAACTATCACACAAATGCAGAGAGTTTTGCTGGTCCCATACAAGCTCCCCAACTGTTGATACGGAGTCCATGAACTCCCTGGAGCTCGGGTTAGCTGTCTCTGTGGGTTGCCCCATCATAAACTTGACCTTCCCAAGCTTGTACAAATCCTCCTCCCTTTCTTCATGAGGACTCCAGGAGCTCAGCTCAAACCAATGTTTGGCTATGGGTCGTTGCATCTTCTTCCCTAAGTTACTGGAAAAACACTTTCTGGTGACAATTAGGGTAGCCACCAATCTAATTGCAATGTGAGTACAGGCACCCTCTCTGCTACTGCCAGAGTTCTTAGCAGGGTCCTTACTTGTGGAATTCTGGGAGTTTCCTTGGCACCAGGATTCACCCTAAGCCTGAAATGCCCCTCCAATCAAGATGTCTCTTTTCTTATTCTCCTCCATCCAATCCCCAATCCACCTCCATGCCTAGGTCACCGATCTAGCTCCCTCAAGTTTCTATCTTGCCACCCCCCCCAACACCCAATGTGAGTTTACCCAGGAGATCTCTTCTTTTCCCCCTTCTCAGGAAATCCATGCATCCTATACTTTACTCCTAATATCCACTTACCAGTGAATACATACCATGTTTGTCTTTCTGGGTCTGGGATACCTTACTTAGATAATTTTTTTCTACTTCCATCCATTTTCCTGCAAATTTCATGAGGACATTGTTTTACAGCTGAGTAATACTTCATTGTATAAATGGAGTATTTTTATTGTAGCCATTCTGACAAGCAAAAGGTGTTATCTCAGTGTCATTTTTATTTGCATTTCTGTAATGGCTAAGAATGTTGAACAATTATTTAAGTATATTTCAGCTACTTGAGATTCTTCTCTTAGTAATTCTGTTTATATCTGTACTCCATTTTTAAATTAGATTATTTGATATTTTGATATCTACTTTATTGAGTTCATTATAGATTTTAGAGATCATCCTTCTGTCTGATGTGAGGTTGGACAAGATATTTTTCCATTCTGTAGGCTGACCACTTGTATTATAGAGAGTGCCCTTTGCTTTACAGAAGATTTTCAGTTTATGGAGGTTCCATTTATTAATTGTCAATCTCAGTATCTGTGCTGCTGGTGTTATATTCAGGAACTAGTCAACCTGTACCAATGCATTCAAGGCTACTTCTGACTTTCATGCCTGTAAGGTTCAGTGTAACTGGATTTATGTCGAGGTCTTTTATTCACTTGGACTTTACCTTTATGCTGAATGATAGATATGGATCTATTTTCATTCTTCTATATGCCAACATCCAGTTATGCCAACACCATTAGTTGAAGATACTGTCTTTATTCTATTGTATAATTTTGGCTTCTTTATCAAAAATCAGGTGCTCATATGTGTGGATTTATCTCAGGGTCTTTTGTTTGATTCCAAGTATCCACATGTCTGTTTTTATGCCACTACAATGCTGCTTTTATTACTATTTTCTACAGAGGAGCTTGAATTAAGGGACAGTGATACCTCCTTAAGTTCCTGGGCTGTACAGGATTCTTTTATCTATCCTACATTTATTATGTTTTTCCATATGAAGTTAAGATAAAATAGATACTTCTTTCATCAAGAAAAGGAAGTAGAGCAAAACACAAAATAATCAATATTGATAGCATTTTGAGCCCCTAATGAGCACTACACACAAGAAAAGGTCTATACACTTTATAGTATACACTTCACACCCTCCTGCAAAAATCAAGAATGTAGTTGTAAAGGAAACTGTATTGTAACAGGTCAAGAAAGTAGTAGTAAATGAAACAAAAGTTTTTCACAACTGAAGAATTAGAACAAGAATCCCAGCCTAAACTATGACCCTTCCATTCTCTTAAAAATATGAGCTTTGAAACAGCCTCAAGAGTGATATTCGTTTTACATGAAAATTTCTTTTTTTGTGATTGTTCTGACATTTGTCATATCTGCCAAGCATTTTATAATCACGCCTTCTTCATACTGCCCACAAAAATAGCAAATCATGCTAGGAAATAGTTGTACTGTTATATCTAAAGTAATCTGTTTCAAGAGTATTTCCTTGTGTTCTCTTCCTTGTGTTTGACATCATAAGCTCACTGCCTAGTGTTGTAATGAATTAAACATTCTCTTTTCCCT